TAAGCCTTTTTTAGACTTTTAACAACATCAATTATAGCTAAAAGGCTGTGTGTCTTGTAGGGTTCACCTAGAGCTTTGATTTGATATATTATGGGCCCCATTTGGAGTAAAAAAGCAAAAGTTTCGATCAAAATAATGAGTAGGCAGGTTCTGGGAGAGTAGCAGGCGCTAAGGGGCACTGATATGGACGAATAGGCACTGAGGGTGCTCATATGGGCGAGCAGACACTAATCTGGGTGAGCAACAGGCGCTCAGTGGAGCTGATCTGGGCGAACAGGTGCTGAGGGTGCTAATATGAGCGAGCAGCAGGCATTGAATGCAGTCCTGGGTGCCAACCTAGGTGTGCAGCCTGCTGAGGCACCTATGGCATTTGTTGGGATGTCTTAGGCGACGGACAACATCCTTGAAGCACCTATGATGCTAGGTGTTGCTTAAGGGGCGCCCATGGGGCTGGGAATTACTGGAAGGACACCGCTGGCAGGCGACTTTGCTGATAGCGATGGAGGAGTGCTGTTTGGGGACAAGCGCAAGTAGAGCTTGTTTGCTCTAAACGTTAAGCACGAGGGTGTTGCGGCAATGAGGCGGTAACGCCAGATGGACACAAAAGGATGAGGCTTGATTGTTGATATTCAATTTAATGTTGTCCCAGTGTCCCTCGTGTTGCAGACGACCTGAGTTTCAAGAGCCTAGCTAGGGACGACAAAAATAATGTTATCCCAAATATCAAAATATCTAACATGATTACTGAGAAAGAGAGTTTGAGGTTGCTTGTGAGAGAGATACGCCTCTTGAGATTGAGCTTCTGGCGATTTTCAGAGAGTCGATAAGTTGCAGATATGAGTTGCTTGCTTGAGAGCAGAGCAGAGACTAATTTTTTAGCGACCCACAAGAGAGCCGTTCAGTTAGAGATAGACTGCCTACTTGAAAACAGAGTAGAGACCAAGCTTTTGGCGACCCATGAGAAAGCCGTTCAGCTGGAGATAAGCTGTCTGCTTCAGAGCAGAGCAGAGAAAGACCAAGATTTTGGCAACCCATGAGAGAACCGCTAAGTTGGAGATAGGCTGCCTTCTTGAGAGCAGAGTAGAGATAGGCCAAGCTCTTTTGGCGACCTACGAGAGATCTATTAAGCTGAAGATAGGTTGCCGGCTTGAGAGCAGAGCAGAGATAAACCAAGCTTTTTTGGCGACCTGCAAGAGAGCCGCTAAGCTAGAGATAAACTACCTGATTAAGAGCTGAGCAAAGATAGGTCAAGCTTTTGGCAATCTGCGAGATAATTCACCTCGTCTCGACTTGTTGATTTCTTCAGCATTCATATATTTTTGATCTTTTCTCAATAGTTTTGGCATTCTCTTTGGTGGTCGCTTTATTACTGAAAAGAGGAGACTCGATGAACAGAGGCCTTCCAGAAAGGCGGTTATGGTGACTTTGTCAATGGGCTCCTCGATTTGGAGGACCTCCTCATTAAAACGAGTGAGGTAACTTCTCAGACTCTCTTCTCGATCCTATTTTATGCTGAGCAGATGGGTGACAGGCTTCTGCTAGCAGCGTTCACCAATGAACTGTGCCACAAAGGATCTGATCAGTTTGGTGAATGAGCCTATGGAGGTTGGGGGAAGTTTTGGCAAATCATTGTCGCGCTGATCCCTTCAAGGTAGTTGGGAATGCCCTACACATTATTTTGTCTGGGACGTTGTGCAATTGCATTAAAGTCTTGTAGGTTTTGAGATAATCAAGTGGGTCCTTTGTACTATCGAAAGTTTCTATAGATGATATTTTGAACTTTTGGAGAAGTGGATAGTTCACCACATCTGATATGAAGGTGTGTCAATTCGCCTTCCCAGGTAATCGACTTTGAACTTTTGGGGAAGTGGATAGCTCACCACATCTAGTAAGAAAGGTGTGTTAGTTCGTCTTGCCAGGTAATTAACAGTTTCGGGTCCTTGTGCCTTCATGGCATTGAAGACGTCACATAGCTAATTCTGTACTTCTTTATTTTTTTGTCCTAGTGGTTGGGAGCTCCTATGTAATTGTCATGGAAATGACTCTCATGCTCCAAACTTTAGTTTTTTCCCTCATCCTCTTAGAAATGTGGGTCTCTACCATGAGAAGAAGGAACTCGAGGAGGAGGGTGGAGGTTTCTCATGGTGGGCTCCCCTGTGTGGGGCGCTCAAGTGGGGAGCTTCTTGACGCCCAGGGTGTGGAGCTTCTTTAGCTTGAGGTCCTCTGAGCTGTGCTCCTCCTTGTTGTCCAACGAGCATCAATTGAAGGATTTGTTGATTTTGGGTTACGAGTTGTTGCATTGTCTCTAACATCTACTGTGCATTTGGAACATGATTGGTTGGCGGAGGAGCAACCTTCTCCTCTCGTGATGGATTATCTTCAAGCTGATTCATGGATCTGATGGTAATCATCATAGATACAGCAAGAGATGTATTTATGTGAGAATTTTGTCGTTCCCACAGACGGCGCCAAACTGATGATGTACAAATTGACTTTGCGCACCACTAGTCAAATAATCAGTAATAAATGCAATAAATAAGTAGAGAGAGAGGAAACAAGGTTTATAGTGGTTTGGTTAATTTGACTTACGTTCACTTTGAATGGCTAGGGTCACTGAGTATTTTATTATTTCAAGTGTGTAGGGAGAGCAGAGAGTTACAAGCTTTGAGAGGGAGAAGAGAGTTGTGCTTGACTAAGTGTGATGTGCCCCCCAAGTGTTGCAGAGCTTAAAATTTATAATGCCCCATAACAGATTAAGACGAATTATTAGTAACAAAGTGGCTATTCTGGTGGAGCTGACGATCTCTTCTCAACGGGCGAGGGAGTTACGGTACTCTCCACGAAATTCGGTCAAATGATGAAGTGGTGGTTGACTTCATCCAAGGCGACGTGAATGAGGCTCTTGGGATAACCCTTAGTCCAAAGTGGCTTAGATGAGGCTCTTGAGATGACCGTTACTCCAAGGTGGCAAGGAGGAAACTCTTGGATGATCATTACTCCAAGGTGGCGAGAAAGAGACTCTTGGATGACCCTCACTCCAAGGTGGAGACTCTTAGATGACCCTTGCATGCTCTTCTGCTGATGTAGCTCTTCGAACCTAATGAGCTTGATCGGGCATGGATGAGTTTGGGCGCTGGATCTTTTAGAGTAGGGCTTTTAATTTAAACTGAACTTACATCATGGGTTAGACCCTTGTGCTTGGTCCATCAAGATTAATTATACATTATATACACAAGTAAGGATCTCTTTTTGATATATACTAGCAATGTACGACGTGCGTGACACATAACTTGAATTATATGAGTAATTAAATTAAAGAATAAATTAAGTGTCAAATAATTAATTGATATTTTAATTATTATTAAATTTAATTATTCATTTATTCTATAAGTTTTTAAATAACTAATCTGTCATTTATTTAGATATATATCTCTCAAATCTCTTTAGTCATTTGTCTATCTAATCATGTTTTAGAATTATTAATTTTTCTATAATATGATTATAAAATATAATAGAATTATTTGTCCTATTATAAAATATAATATAAATTTGACCGTATAATTCAAATTGATAATTACACGTGCATAATAATTTAGCATATATAAGATTTTACTTCTTTATATACATATAGAAAATTGTATATAAATATATTACTAATAAATGAGTTCAAAAGAATTTAAAATTTTTTATAAAAGAGTCCAAAATAAGTTAAAATTCAAATAAGAATACAAAATTAAAATTAGATGAAAATATATAGGTAAGTATAATTGAATTTAATATAATAATTAGGAATAAAATAAAAAATTAAATTTTTTTCATAAATGCTGACTTTTATAAGTAAAATATATATAGTCATAAACCATGTTTAAAGGCACAATAAAATATAAAATTTGAGTGCTCAAAAAATCAATCTTACTATTATTAATTTTTTTTCAGTATATATATGTATATTATTGTACATGAATAATGTTTAAAAGAAAAATTATGGTAAACTATAAATTAATCAAATATTAAATAATTGAACATGTGATAAAAATGAGTTATGTGATATTTTTAAGAGAAAAAAATATGTAAGAGATAAAAATTTAAATTATTACGTGTTTTATTTTGTATATATAATCTTATTTAAAAACATAATAAATGACCTATCAAAAGAATATGAACGAAAAAAAAGTGTATGGAAGTGATCTCACTCGTCTAATCATCAATAATCGGAAATGCACAGAAAGATACGAAACAAGTGGTCAGGCAGAGCCCTCCTTTCATAAGGATAAAATATAGTCTAAAATATGCACTTCATCTCACTTTTGTCCCCATTCTTTTAGTTTTTGTACCTTCATCCTTTTTTTTGCTGGTTTGTATCTTAATTCTTAAAGTTTGTAGTTTAAGTTCAAATAGTTCAATCGATATGGACAACTAATTTGGTAAACAAAACTATCATGGACATAATTTTTGTCCTTGTTACACTCGCACGCGCACGCAAACATATTATCAGTTTGATCTCTTAGTTGTCGATTTTGTCATTTGCATCTCAAAAATGTTCAATTATAGTCTAAATTGTCCTTAAAATCGCAAATGAAATATGATACACTTGCCATGTTGAGTCTCGCATAAAATGATATAAGTGCTTCTTAGTTAAAACACTGCCATTAAGTGTATGAAATTAAGAAATTTAGTTTTGGATGAATCAAAATGAGACATNAAACACTGCCATTAAGTGTATGAAATTAAGAAATTTAGTTTTGGATGAATCAAAATGAGACATATATATCAAATAATTTAAAAACCAAAAATATATTTAGTCAAATGTCACGTTGCAAATCATTGAAACATAAAATAAAATATTTTAGGGGCCAGAATGACATAATATAAAAAATAAGGACTAAAGTGAAATGGAACACATATATTGAATGGTAAAAATGTATTTATTTATATTGATAGTGTAGGATATGAACATGTGACTCATTTCGTGACGATAGCAGGGAGGAACTTACCCGGAAAGAGAAAAAAATTATACTAGGAAAGAGAGAAACAGAAATTGGCTTATTTAAGCAAGAAGCAGAGGAAAGAGTTTGAAACGAACGAAGATCAAACATGAGGATGGGAGAGATGTTTGGTCAACTAGGTTCTCTAATCGCTGGTTTCATGTTTGTTCGAGCAATCTTCGAACAATACTTCCCTTCCCATCTCAAAACCCATTTCGAAAAACACACTCAAAAGCTCTATAATTTCTTCTACCCTTATATCCAAGTAACTTTCAATGAACTCACTGGTGAGCGTCTCAAGCGCAGTGAAGCATACTCGGCCATCGAGACTTATTTGAGCTCCAATTCTTCTTCCCAAGCCAAGAGGCTCAAGGCTGATATTGGCAGCAACAGCCAATCTCTGGTTCTGAGCATGGACGATCATGAAGAGGTAACCGATGAATTCCAAGGAGTCAAAGTTTCGTGGGCTTCCGGGAAGAATATTTCGAAAACTCAGTCATTTTCACTCTACCCAACTACTGAAGAGAAGAGATATTACAAGCTCAAATTCCATAAAAATCAAAGAGATCTCATAATCGGTCCGTATTTGAATCATGTTCTGAAAGAGGGCAAGGCGATTAAGGTGAGGAATCGGCAGAGAAAGCTTTACACAAACAATGGATCTCACTGGAGCCATGTGATTTTTGAGCACCCAGCAACGTTTCAGACATTAGCCATGGAGGAAGAGAAGAAGAGAGAGGTTATGAATGACTTAATCACATTCACTAAAGCAGAAGAATTCTATGCCAGGATAGGAAGGGCGTGGAAGCGTGGTTATCTTCTTTACGGCCCGCCGGGGACTGGTAAGTCCACCATGATCGCCGCCATGGCTAATCTTCTGGGTTATGATATTTATGATCTAGAATTAACCGCCGTGAAAGATAACACTGAGCTGAGGCGGTTATTGATTGAGACACCGAGCAAATCGATTATTGTGATTGAAGACATTGATTGTTCGGTCGATCTCACCGGACAAAGGAAGAAGAAAGAGGAGAAAGAGGAGGAAGAAGAGAAGGATCCAGCAAAGAAACTAGTAAAAAATGAAACTGAAAGCAAAAGCAAAGGGGTTACTCTTTCTGGGCTTCTGAATTTCATTGATGGGCTTTGGTCAGCTTGTGGAGGAGAGAGACTCATCGTCTTTACAACAAATTATGTGGACAAACTCGATCCGGCGCTCATTCGGAGGGGAAGAATGGACAAGCACATTGAATTATCGTACTGTAGCTTTGAAGCATTCGAGGTTCTGGCAAAGAATTATCTTAATCTTGAGACCCACATCCTGTTTTTGAAAATTCGTGAGATGTTAGAGGAAGTTAATATGACCCCTGCGGATGTTGCGGAAAATTTGATGCCCAAGACTTTTCCTGGGGAGGCAGAGACTTGCTTGGAGAGTCTGATCGGAGCTCTTGAGAAGGCCAAAGAGGAAGCAAGGCTAAAGACTGAGGAAGAAGCTAAAGCCAAAGAGGAAGCAAGGCTGAAGACTAAGGAAGAAGCTAAAGCCAAAGAATCATCAACTAATGAAGCCATAGAGGGAGAGAAAGATGGAGAGAAAGAAAAGAACATCTGAAGAACAAAGAGACTAAGGAACAATCAATNGTAATGAAGCCATAGAGGGAGAGAAGATGGAGAGAAAGAAAAGAACATCTGAAGAACAAAGAGACTAAGGAACAATCAATTGGAAGAGCAAATCAGAGCAAGCCATCAAATGAAAAGGTATTAGAAGGAGAAGGAGATGGGTCCATCAAGATAAGCAAAAATGAAAAATTGAGTGGAGATGAGTATTACCAACTGAGACAGCAAGATTCATGTAAGGTTGTCTCTTTGGTGGAGAAATATTGNTATTAGAAGGAGAAGGAGATGGGTCCATCAAGATAAGCAAAAATGAAAAATTGAGTGGAGATGAGTCTTACCAACTGAGACAGCAAGATTCATGTAAGGTTGTCTCTTTGGTGGAGAAATATTGTTGTATTCTATTCCTTCAGCAACTTTGGCTTTAACCATGTGCTAAAGGGTCTTAATCTTGAATGATCTTATATTTATATAGTAGGAATTTATCTTGTCCCCCCCCCCCCCCCCCCCTCCAGCCCGGGGGGGGGGTTGGGTATCTCGGTTGATAGA